GCTGCAAGTCTTGTAACAAGGCAAAAGTATACAGAACAGCAAGGTCCTTTCCTTTTAAATGGGAGAAAGGGCAAAACTTACAGCTTTTTCAAGGTGCCAATGAGCCATAAATGGAAGGCACATTCTCAGAAACTGATCTTATCCTGAAAAGCCCAAGATCCCTTGGTTCTTGCTACGAGGATGAATCACAGAATTTAGGGTGTGTTTTCAGCTCAAAGAAATCTTTGGAGAATACTGGCTCTTTCCATTTTCTAGGATCCAAGGAGACTGGATTTCCTCAGATTAAATAATTTTTTGTCACTACCCTGCAAGATGCTACATTACATGCTGTAATAAAGTAGACAACTGGCTAAAAGAAAGAAATGAAATACAGGAAAATCAACAGAGGACACTAAGAGACCTCAGAAATTCAGAGTACTGAACAGAAATTGGAAACTTGTTTCAGTGAATACTCATCTTCTTACAGTGTAAACTTTCCCGTTTCTTGGATGATATTCTAAGAGGGTCTGGGAAAGCTGTACTGGTGACATTGATGTGCCATCATTTAGTACTACTGTCAGTTCAAGAAAATACAAGATTGGATGTCCAGCAGAGTTTGCACCATTGCTTTTATATAAAAGACCCAGGCTGCCAGGGGCACTCCCACAGATCATGGGTGAGAAGGTAGTCTTTGCAGACTTACCTATGCCTTTGCCTCACTCCTCACCTGTTTTAAAGGTAGGAATCTTTGGATGAATCAGACCATGAAGCTTGGGAAAACTGGGAAAGGCTTTTTAATTAAACAAAAAAGAGCTTCTTAGTATGTGACTGATGTGGTACAGGATTAGAAAGGAAACGATGCAGGGTAACAATTAGCCTGACTCCTTGGTCAGTGGTTCATACTATAGGCTGTGCTTTGTTATTTGATTATGAGTATTGGCTCAAAACTTTGGTCTTGAAGCCATTAAAGTCATTAGTCAAGATCTCATTGATTTGAGCAAGACCAAGACTTGACCCTTTGTGGCTGTTCAAAGGACAGAGATAAACTTTTAAATCAGTCAAGAGCGTAGACTCATTCTGCTGGGGTCATATGGTTAATACATCCTGTTCCTGTCATTTCCGCTATAAATCTGTGAATGCTTTTAAAGCAAGAGGAAAACCTGATTCCTTTCCTTTTGCCAGAAAATATTATGTTCCCTTTTATTACAAATAAGAAAAACAAGGAGTCCTTCTGCTCAGGAAAACCTATAAGGGGAAAGGTAATCTCAATATTTCTATGTCTCTAGAGTCAGTGAGAGGTAAGTGCTGGGCAATACAGTCTCCCATCTGCAAAGCATGCAAACCTTCTCCCACTCCTGTAAGCCTTTATTGGGTCCTGATGATCTTTTTGCCCAAGCATTAAGTCAGTACCCATTGTATTCTTGGTGTCTACAAAGAAATCCCTTATTTTCCACATTGCATCTAGTCTACACAGCTCCTACAAATTGGGAAAAAACTAAGACTTCCTACAAATGTAATCAAACTCATTGACTTTGTCTGCTTGGATTCAGACTTGAGTTACTAAACTTTCTGTATTTACTTCTAGAGTATGATACTTCTAGAAATGTGAAATATATTATATGAAAAGAAGTCTGAACTACTCTGAGTTTTTGTTTTGCTGAAAGATTCACATCATGGTGATTATGGAAATAAAAGCTGTTCTTCCACTCTCTCTTGTGAATTTAGGATTATGAACAAAACTGTAGGAGAGAACACCCAACCTGATTCAGGTCAATTAAAATAAAAACTCTGAATCCTTGGCTTATCTCATGTTGTATTTCTTCCAAAAAGATTCTGTTTGGTCCTGTTAGGGCCATTAAGATGATCAGAAGTTTGGAGCACCTTTTCTATGAGGACAAGCTGAGAAAGTTGGGGTTGTTCAAGATGGAGAAGAGGAGGCTTCAGGGAGACCTCCTAGCAGCCTTCCAGTACCATAAGGGGGTTTATAAAGAAGGAGGAAGAAGGACTTTTTTATACAGACAAATAGTGACAGGACAAGGGACAATGGTTTTAAAAATAAAGAGGGCAGGTTTAGATTAGATGCTAGGAAGAAGTCCTTTACTCAGAGGGTGGTGAGTCACTGGAACATGTTGCTCAGTGGACAAGCCAGGCATCACCATCCCTTGAAGTGTTCAAGGCTGGGTTGGGTGGGGCCTTAAGCAATCTGATCTAGTGGGTGGCATCCCTGCTCACTGGAGGGCAGTTGGAGGGAGATGGAATTAAATGTTCTTTAAGGTTTCTTCCAACCCAAAGAGCTCTATGATTCTATGATTTGTTGGGAAAATGTGGGTGTGATTTGATAGGTTTTATGAAAATAACTTCCAATTCTCACTTATGGAAAGATGAAAGAATAGGTGAGAGAGGAAGAAAGAACCTTTATTATGCATATATACATAGGTACCACCCTGTGTGCATGCATGTGCATGTTTTATAAAGGGTTTGATCTTACCTGAGCATCTGTGGCTCTGGTGACATCCCATTTGTTAACATTTCTGTAGGCTCTTCAGTAAACTCACTGGATAGATGACAGTTCATTAAATTAGTTGACAATGCATATCCAGTCTTTCCACCCTCCTCCCCCAGCTCTAAAATGAAAATAAAGAAATTACAATGGTAAGAAGGGAAAATACTATGCAAATAACTCTGAGAGCACTGACACATTTAAACTAATGCATTTCCTAGAATCATAACAATAAATGTGCTGTCAGAGGCATCGCAGTTACTCCAGTGACACAACGACTGTGCAAAAGCACCAGTGCAAGCTGTCAGAGCTGATTTTTAAGTACTTTTGGAATATTTTTCTTTCATTGTAACTTCTCAGAGTCATGAGGCTTGGAAAGAGCCCTTTTCCTCTTGCAATCCTTCAGCTAGCTTTTAAATACCTGCATACATCACCTTGCAAAATAAGCGGGCCAGGAACAAATTTTCTAGAGATGGCAGTTACAGAGATTAGTTGTTTTGGGAAATGTTCTTTGATGAAATGACTTGAGAAAATTTGCCCTGCGTGGCAAAAAGTTTTTCCTCAAATATAACAAAGATAGCAGCTAGGCCTACCCCAAAGAAACCTTTTCAAAGGGCTTAACATTTCCAAGCAGTTGATTTTGTTTATTAAGTTGCTGCAGATAACAAGAGATAGACGAGTGCAACAGCATCACTATGAAAACCCCTCCATGAAATGGCCTTTCCATAACTTTCTTTAATACACAAACTTCCTCATTCAACTACAAATCTTAGAGCAGTCTATTAAGTTTGACCATCAACCCCATGCTCTGATGCATGTGTAGGCAGTATGGCTGAGATATAAAAAAACCTTATAATTGCTCAGAAATGCCCCTCTCAAGCCCCTTCTTGGAATTAGTGTCTTTAGTAATACTGCTGAACAGTTATTTGGAACAGGCATGTTATTCTTCCATTAAGGTTTATTCTGGTCATTCTCTCAATCTGCATTTAAATTCTGTTTTCCTCTCGGTTGGCATTGGCACCCTTAGCTACCTCATAAACAAGATGCATGCCAACTGGAACACGCAAGCAGAGCTGAAAGCAGCACTGCTAACCTCTGCTTCTTTCTACCCCCTGCAACTTGGAGTTGTATCAAACTCAATGCTTGGAGCCTGGGAAGTGGGCATCCTGCACTGCTTGGAAGCTGAAAGAGCCAGACTTCAATCTATTAAGGTTTTGGGCTGGCTCACTGAGCTATAATTGTGCACACTTTTTTAAAAAATCAGCCTAGAAAGCCAGATTCACATGCTCTTACTTCAGCTGAGTGTATGTTTCACAGTAAAGAGTTGTGCTGCAAACTGTGAATAGTTTTACTCAGCATTTATAAGGCAAGAAGAATTTGGCCCAGAATGACTAGCCCAGCAGCATTAATTTCTAAGTGGACATACAGAAGAGAAGAGATTAGGTACTCAAAGCTGCTTAGAGATTTTGGCTATTGGCAAATTTGCATTCTTAGAGACTGCATGCTCAGCATAACAAAATAAAATACGGAGTTTGGAAATATTTGTGACAGGTGGGAGAGGCACTGTAAAAAAAGGCAATGAATGCAGAACTACAGGGGTGAGAAGGCTTCCACTCCCCTCCTGTCCCATCCCCAGCCTGTTCTCTGCACATGCAGGAGCAGCCACAGGGTCGGCACACAGCACTGGGTACCTGGGGAGGTATCTCCTGTGCCTTAACTTCTCCCTGCTTTTCACTGCAGAGACAAAAACCACTTGACCTGGGCCTTTTTGTACCCAGAATTTATGCAAGATTGTTCCCTTTTTAAGGCCAGCCACTGTGTGTGGGTTTTTGTGTAATCAACAGTGTATTTGAATTTTTCCCCCCTTTCATTTGTGGGACCAAGGCTTTTTGCCTTGTCAGTTCTGCATTGGCAAATGTTTCTGTCCTCAGTTGGTAAGGCAGAATGTCTAGCAGCACAACACCAACTACTTACAGGTCGCCACTCTGGGGAAAGAAAGTACACATTTAAAAGAATCAGCAGCCTAGGTAGGATATAATGTGACTGAAGACTCTGTAACATTGTAGAGTACAAAAATGAAAATATAAAGTGCATTTTAAATGATTAATGTACCAAAGCTGATCTCTTCCAGTGTGCATTAATCAAGGAAAAAATGCACACTTTCTATCGTAGTTAATGTTGCAGGTTCATTATTCAGCTTTGATAATGTGCATAAAAATGCTTAATATGACAATGAGTTGGGGTAGCTGAGAATTTAGAATGGTGGCAAGTTTGTTGTAGTATTTGGATTAGCATTCTTAACCTACATCTTGACAGCTTCCTTTCTTCATTTCACAAGTGTTAATAAAATCTTGCTTTTTCCTCTTTCATTTTTGGTTATTTTTTTCTTGTATTTTAGTTATTTTCTTTTTTTTCTTTTTTTTTNTTTTTTTTCATAAAATGATTAAAAAATACCTGCTCAAACAAATACTACCAGCATTCATTAGTCAGGATGGTTATATGTAAAAGAAATGATGCCAGATAGTAACAAATCCAAGAGAAGTTTATTATGAAAATGGCACCTGCGGGATGAAAAAAAATTAAGTTACATAAAGACAACCATGTATGACATGTATGAGAATCTACAAAAGTATAAAAAGAACCCTGTTGTAAATGAAGTATGTACATTTCTGATTTGCAGCATTATCAATGATCAATGAAAAAAATGTTTCAAATAAGCCAGGCACTCAAGAAGTTAGATTCGGTTAGCTTAACACAAAATAAATGTACCATAGCTGTCACTTTTTAACATTTTAATTTTTTTTATATTGTAGAGTTGGTAACACTGCTAAGATTTATACGAACAGAATCCCTTTCCCCATTATTCAGCTACTTGGCACCAGTCTCCTCATAAAAGATTTCATATATTTGTACAAGAAATAGTTAAAAACACAGACACAGTCTTCACAGGTAATGAAGTTTTTTTTTCATTTTGTAATTTTAAACACTATGGATTTAGACAGCAGCTGTGATTATCTGTTAGTTTAAATCACCAGAAATCATTTTGACACAACACAGAAACATTTATAAAAAAAACCCAGAACAACAACAGCTGTCTAGCTGTTCTTTGTAGCTGATAGGTGCAGTCCTTTGATTGTTCCATAGCTAGAGCAGAGCTTCCAAAATTAAACTTTGAATTTCCCAATCAGCTTTCTCACCTTTTTAAGACCTACATAAATCCTTTCCATGGAACCTTTAAAAGCTCATTAATTAAATTTCTAGCGTCCAATTCCTTTTTTTGCTATCACTCCTCTGTGGCTTGGACCTACTTCTCAAATTCAAAGCTACCATAGAAATTGACTCAACGCAGTGAGTGATCAAAAATTTGAAGGACAGTTGAGTTAATACATTAGCATTGCACACGTAAGCGAATATATATGACAATTCTAAGCTCAGTTTCCTTTATAAACAATGCCCGTTGACCTTTGAAAGAATTTCCTATCTCACTGGTAATTGCTCTACATATTGCTCTGCCAGCCTACCTAGGAGAAAACCAAAGAAATGCACCCTCTGCTTACAGTTCGAGCACAAGGACTCTGGGAATGTTAACAACTGAGGCTATATGGCGTCAATTTGCTTAATATATCTGAGCATTACTCTGTAGTGCGTTGTGGGGTACACTGGAAGAGTAAGTCATACCCAGAATTCCTCTGTGGGAAAAATGGCTCCATTAACCTTGAGCTAGTTAAGAGTCTTTTATCTCTGAGAGTGAAGAAGAGAGAACGAGAGAGCGAGAGAAAGAGAGACGGGAAACGTGTGGAGGAGGAGGGGAGAAAGGAAGGGGGAGAGAGAGGTTTGAGAATACACAACAGCAAAGCAACAGCAGAAATTAAAAGGTATACAGACAGTGGAAGCAGCATAAGGTGACATTACAGAGGAAGGCCACCACACAAAAACCACTAACCCCCAAGAATCACTGGTTCACTAGGACTGCAGGAATGGGACTTTACCACTCCGGACTAGAGATAAAGCACAGAGAAGACAAAGGACAAAACAACTACATTAGCTTAGTATATACTGCATATAGTAACACACATTGAAACTGCAATGGGACTGACAGCCAAGGACACTTACACATTGTACACATTACAGTTCTCACATCTGTTATTAGATGCCTTAACAAACAGCTGCCAAAGATGGAGTGGAAGAAGAATTTATATTTGACAGTCATTTGGAGTGTTTGACACTACACTGTGATTTCTGGCAACAAAGACAAAATAGGAGATTTCTTTTCTTTTACTTAATGTGCAGTTTTCAGTTGTAGTTATCTATTTCAAGCTTATTAACCCATCCTTTAGTTTTAAAACATATTGGTTTCAACACTAGAAATAAGGAAAAAGAAAACAACAAAAAACCCCCGAAATTAAAGAACAAAAAGAAATTTACAACCTTCCCTCTATAATATTAAATGGAAAAAAAAATAAAACATGTTAAATAGTTCTTCTGTTTTTTTTTTTTTACTCTGAAGTGTTATTTGATGTTGCAAAATTAGCCTCAGTTACACTGAGAAAAAAATAAAGCAAAACAATATGCACCTAAGAAACTGCTCCTCGCGTCAATTAAATTGAGTTTTTTGTTTTTAAGCTCTTTTTGAAAAAAGCTTCCTGACCCATTTAAATTTGATGTGAGGCTATGCTTGTTAGTTTGGAGGTAACAAATTTTAAGTCCTGCAGCAAATGTTAATGAGGGCTTTTGTCTTAACTAACCAAGGAGACTGCAGCACCCCACTATTAACCAGTACGGAACACATTCTTTCCAAAAAACCCAGCCCACAAGCTGCATATTGTATGAAGACATTACAGATTAATAAATGATAGCACCATGGTTTTAGAAATTAAGTTAAAGTTTCTGTAATTAACATTTAGTCCAACTTTTTAACATTCTAGTCACAGGCCAGAAATTAACTTTTTAAGAACCCAAATTATTTTATGTGCAAGTAAGAAAATCTTAACCATAAAAAGAGAATTAAACTCTGCATAAAATTCTAAAATACTATCCCCTATTTTAAAGGAATTAGGAACAAAACCCCCTTTTCATTTGACTTAGTCAAACAGGGCACATTGTTTATGCTTGTCTCTTTTAATCTTGATCATATCAAGATCATTTTGAAGTAAAACCAATGGTTGTCACTTTAAAATCTCTTTACCACAACACTGAGTATTCTATGGCAGAGGCATACACATATTAAAGGCATCTTAATAAAGATGCAAAGGAAAAAACACACATCTTAGAAGAAGACAAAATGGCAGGCAACTGGTACTTCGACTCTCTGAAGGCAAAAATAAAAAAATATCTTTACATTAAAGAATAAGTCAAGTTAAAGAGAAAGGGAATGAAATGGGGACCATCATATTGAGATAATAAGCTGACCTGCTCAAATTCAAAGTGCTAGAATTAAAGGTCTAAATTAAAACATAGTCTATGCCTCAGAGTATAACACTGAACACAGTATGTGGTCATATTTCAATCCTCTTTCCGTTCCAGAGTCTGTGTAGTGTGAATGCCATTGCTGTACACAGGAAATGGAAGAGTGGAAAAAAGTCCTTCGGCAGTCGTGAACACATTCCCTGCAGGCATTTGGGTCAGACTGGCCCCGCTCACAGCACTTCCAAATGGTCCCGACATGTTGAGTCGGTGAACGTGGTGGTAGAGCATTTCCATCGGCGTCTTAGGATCCAGCCCAAAGCTGGGGCTGTTAACATCAACGAAGTTAACAGCGTGGGTGTTGGGGAGGAGGTTGCCCTGCATGGCTAAAGTAACTTCAGCTGGAGCATACCGAATAGTGCCAGTGGTGTAGACCCTCTGAGCAGCAGTGCTGGTCGCAGCAAGGGTTCCTGTTACCCTGTGAACCAAAGGAAGCACCACGTTGCCTGCTTGTAACCTCTGAAGGGCTTCCAGATCCCCAGTGTACAACAAAGAGTTGGACGCTGTGGGACCTCCTGGATGTTTGTCCCTTGGAGATGCTGAAAGTGGGGGTGACAAAGGGTCAGAGGACACTGGAGCCAAGGCCGAGTTGGATGAGGTGCTGAACTGAGTTTTACGGCTGGCAGTATTTTCAGTCCCTGGAGGGGTGAGAACAGAGTCTGGAATGGAGACATGTAAACTACTGCTGGCTTGGGGGGAAGGGAAGTGCTCGGAGCTGGGGGGCTTGGTCATACTGTAGGGCGATTCATTCCTTGAGATTTCCCTGTTGGGTGGGTAATTCCAAATACTGCTATCATTATCAAAATTGATAGGTTCTGAGATTTCTGTTTTAATTTTGAGCACTGAGGCACTGTTTGGTGACGAGAGCAGCTGGGGCTGGTCCACCAAAGCTGAGTCAAGTCCATTTGGACTTGAGGTGCTTGACAGCCTTCTCCGGGTCATGCTGCCTCCCTTTTGCTTTTTTCTCCTCTTCTTCCTCTTCTGATGTTTGCTGGAAGACTGGGCATTTACTTCACCTGCACTGTCTGAGTCCTTGGCACTGTCAGAAGTCAGTGATTCACAGTTCTGCAACCGCAAGTCTGACTCACTCTCAACATAGCGCTCCACCTTGATCTGCATAGAGCCAAGAGTGCCAAAACTGTCCTCAGGGGCCTTCTGATTCTCGAAGTCTGAGTTTTCAAAGCTGTCATCACTGTCCCTGCTGTCCTGGTTGCTGGAGCTGTTCCCATCCTCATTACAGTTCATTTCATTATCTGACTGATTTCCTGACTTTTTCCTGTCGGATTCGGGGTCTTCACTGTTTTCTGACTGGTTTCCTTTCTCATCTGACTTTGAGTTCTCATTGTCCTCTGGAGCAAAATGAAAGTGAAACAAAGAATTAGCAATAGGAACATAATATTATAATCTGAGTCCAGATTTCTACCTACCAATGAGATTGGATTTGCTTTAACCTTTTTTTTTTTTTTTTTCAGGTACTCTTTTCTGTAGAGCTGCATGTTTTTTTGTTTTCCTCTATTGTGTTGGGAGAGTTTTGATCACTATGAATGTCTCTGACTCAGGACTGTTAATGCACTTGAAGCCTATGCTATATGGCTGCACCTCGATTGAGGGGGCCTTCTCATCTGCTCACTGGACAAGAATCACGATGACAGCTGTGAGCACAGTGGCATTGTAGCTGTGCCATCCAAAGAGGAGTCAGTGAACAATTCCATTATCACTGTTATGTTCTGGTGATCGTTCTTTCACATCCATGCTCTCCTACAGTGGGCAGGCATCTACCTATAGCACTATTTACTAATGAAGATTTTACTACTCTCATCTCATTTTCCTCTGACCATTGCCACTTTTGAAGTGGCATAAAGTCTCTGGCTGCAGCAGAATTACTGCTGATTTCCTCCTGTGTGAGAGGAGAAGCAACTCGTGTATAAATCCGAATGAATGAATAAACTAGTTAAGATGAATGAATAAACCATTCAAAAAAGTTTATTGTTAAAACAATTTTGCTTTGTTGCTAGATTTTCATCTTATATTCTCCTGAAGGAAAACAAATATGAAAAA